GAATACTCTGGGTCTGTTCTTAGACCCACAGTTTCATAACTATTTACTCTAAACCACATTGTTTTAGCAACCACAACTTTAGCTGCAGGGTTCTCTACTGATGGGTATTGGTAGGTGCATCCTATGTCCACTGTTGATCCCTTTGAGGCACAAATCGAACTAGAAGTGTAAATCACTCCCCAGTCTTTCTGACCCTGTACCACTGTAACACAAGAGGACATTAAAAAAAAATCAGTTCACAGAGACCCAAATACACACATGCACATTTACCTACATTTGAAACCTCAGGTAATTTGTCATTTTGGTAAATTAGTTAAATCTTTACCAGTAGCCTTCTGGCTTCTTCAATTTATGTTATATCTACTTCCCCGTTCCTCTTTAATGGAACAAAAACCAAAAAAACACTTCTTCCTATTTCAAGTGAAAGGATACAGAAAGATGTTTCGTGTGTAAAAAAATAAGCAGATGTAAGAATCACCATAATAAAACCACTAACGCTAATAATGCAACAATCAAAAAAACAGAAGACACCTCTTGGGGTTTATTTAGAATATTGTCTTAATCCCACTTAAGGTTGCTTTGAATAAGTGTGCTAAAAGCCCTACAATGTAAATGTGGACATACATTACCTGGCATAGAGAGAAGGAAGACAACAAATCCACTCGCTGCTGCACTTAAACTCATAGCTGCTCCTCTCATCTCTCTGTGAGGCTTCAGAGACAATAAAACTCATAAGAAGGTAATTCATGTACAGAGGATATTGTACTTGTGCGCTGTGTCTGAACTCTGTGTTCCTCTTTGGTCAGGGGGTGTAAGCAGGAGACAGAAAGTAAACTGTTAAATACACCAGACTTCCTTCCTCTTCACATTATTACTATGCATAGCGAACCAGATGGCCAATAATATGACTTTGCTATCATATCCATGTTGTTTTGCAAACTATAAGCTTTATGATTCATTCAGCATTTGAAATAATGTTCTTTCAGTTCTCTCAGCAGTAAAGTTAAGTTCCTTAAGAGACTACAGAAGTCTGAAACATTACTTCACACTTCAGTGCACAATGAGACATTTCACTGATGCCATGGCTTAGTTGTACCGTATAAACAATGGCAGCAAAGAGTCACACACTGTAGGAGCAAGAAATACATTATTTTAGGTTTTACATTTAAAATAAGTTTATTCTGAATATTATGAATGAAGGAGAAAGTGCATTTTAAAAAACAAAACTAGGTAGTTCAAATAGGCACTACAGTTTGCAGCACAAACAAAAACCATTCGTATCTTCCACAGTGATGAGCTGGACTGCTGTTGTACTCCACTGCAGCAATCTGTCTGCAGTCTGCCTTTACCGTGTTCATCCTGTTTCTGTTTCTAGAGTCTGCAGTTCTCCTACTTTGACAGACTTCTCCTGCTGGAGTGAAACTCTAGTAGGTTAATGTCCAGTCCATTGCTTCCCAACCTGTTTTATTGCGACCCCTCAAAATGAAGCAATATGTACCATGATCACAGTTTACGGCCTTCAGTCAGGAAATCAGCTGTGTGAATTTTAACCCATCTTTTTATTAAAGCAAAACAGAACTAATACAGAACAGGACAAGGAAAAATATAAACAGTACAGAACAAAAGAGATGGGACATAATAAAAAGTATAAAAAAGGAAGAAAGATGAACAATTTTAATGAGCTGTAACAGTAATGAAGTAGAAATAACTGGAAATAAAACAAATTGTGATAATGGAACAGGTAAGAAAAAGGAGGGCAGAAAAATCGTGGTGAAAATAAGACTATATACAGAATGCATGTTCCTCTCTAATACCACAATGTGCTTTTAAACAGCAAATTCAAATGAGATCAAAGGTCGAGAGAGAGAGAGAGAGAGCTTAACATTTGATACTTGTTTTTCACGCTTGAATTCTCCTTCTGGAGTAAATAAGTAATTCTCTCTACTCTCTCTATTTTCCTTATCTCTCGTCTCTTTCTCT